CGAAGCGTAGACTTGGCGACCGCTTCGCAGAACATCTACGTTCTGCTTGCAAAAAAGACCCTGAACTAACTGTTCCCTGCCACTTCAATGCACCACCCTGTCCTCTGGCCAACATCTCTGTCTCCGGCTTGCTACAGTGTTCCAGTGAAGCCAAATGCAAGCTGGAGAAACAACACCTCATTTTCCACTTGGGGACCCTACAGCCCTCCGGACTCAATACTGAGTTCAATAATTTCAGGGCCTAAACTCTCCCATGTCCCAGCACCCCACCCCACACACCAGGCCTTGTTACCACATAGCCTGCCACCACACACGCCCTGTTGTTAGTCACTAACAGTCCCCAATAACAACTATTCACCCTCCCAGCCTGATCATTAGCAACTCCTTTGTCTGTCCAACTGGCTTTCTTTCTCTTTGGGCTCTTTCTTATCATTTACTCCCTACCCCACCCACCTCTCTATTTTCTGCATATAAACTGACATTTTCCCAGCTACCATCAGTTCTGAGGAAGGGCCACCTGACCCGAAACGTTAACTCTGTTTTCTCCTCCACAGATGCTGCCAGACCTGCTGAGCTTTTCCAGCAACTTTGTTTTTGTTCCTCAATTAGAAAATGGCTGCCTGAGTGAAGTCCTAATTAAATGCCCAGAAGTTTCTCAGGAAGAGGGACTACCAAAGGAGCCAAGCCCACCTTGCATGTTGACCGGGAAGCAATTCCATGATTCTGTAAGGCCTGCCCAGTGCCATTTGCCTTACGGGCAAAAGTAGAGGAAGAAATCAGGAGGCTGGGAAGCGGAGGAATCACCAAATCAGTCCAGTTTGTGGAATGGGCAGCATCAGCTGGATGCAAGCCTTGGCTAAGCGTGACAGTTTACTTCAGGGGATGAAGTTTGATGTAGGAGCCACAGGAATGGCCCTGCATGGGTAAGAGGCAAGGTTGACATGAAGTCAGGTCCAGTAACATATAAAGTTTGGGTAAGTGCGATGGTCCTGAACATGTGGACCATATGAAAGTTGCAAACTTGCAAATGGTGCGGGAGCAAAATGTGTGTGACTCCTCAACAGCCTTTCTGATTGTTCTGGACCCTGGGGGTTCTCTCTCTCCTTCAAGTGTTGTAGAGACCTCGGAATCTGAGATGGACATGGTGAATATTGCTGACTCAATGCCTTCGTTGCCTAAAGAGGAGAATGAATTTCTTCTGAGACTTTCTGGGCACAAGAGGCGGGCTACTGTCTACTACACGCTGCCTGTATCAGAGGCAGAATTGGAAGAACCTGACCCAGTGCTAAAACGACCCAAAAGGAGCTGCAAAAAAAGAACCAACCTATGTCCTCGGACTCAGAGGGGGAGGGACATAGTGATTGTAATGAGGTAATCCAGATGGACCTCATAGAATATGAGTTCCCTAATTAGACCAGGTTAACAGCCCCAATCAGGGAGCCCTGGCTGACAGATATAAACAGGAGGGCCAGAGGTTCTGTTCACTCTGAGAGCTGGCTCTGAGGGAGCTGGATCAGTGTCAAGGACTCTCCATGTGTAAATAAAGCGTGAGGATTTGGTGACAGGATACCAGCCTCTGTGGAGTTATTTCAGTTAGCTTCACAATTCTCAAAATTATCACTTCACATGCTGTGTAAGTGTATCTATGAGTATATCTGTCTACCTATCTTAGAAAAATAAGTTTAAAAGAGTATAGTTCAGATATGAAATGAGCAGCAAGTCTGGGGCCCCCATGAAAGTGACCAGGAGGCTCCTAGTTAAACAAGGTGAAAGGGTAACCTGAAGAAGCCCAGGACAGGGAAGTTGATCCTCTGCACCAGGTTTTATTGCTGCATCCAAAAATAGATGATCCAGCTGTTAAAAATGATGTTGAGGTCCAATTGTTGTAATTAGGCTTGACTTTTGAATGTCAGCAAAGTACTTGCCCTTCTGAGACACGGCCTCACAGGTTGACGGAAAAATGTCAATAAAAATTAAATGGATGTTAATGCAACCTGATTACAGTGAAGCCTGATATATCATATCTGCTGATATCTTCACCCTGTCTTTACATATAGTTTGCTCTGTATAAAGTCACTTATTGTATTTCTGATAAAAGACATGTGTGTGTACTTATTCACGTTTCTAGAATTGGTCCAAATATTAATGCCTGTGCAGTAAATACTTTGTTTGAGGAGGTGGGGGAGCTCCTTTAGTGCAAAAAAGGAAGAGCTGAAATTTGCTCATGCTTACCTTATAGCCCTTGGTAACAACTCCCAAGAAAAACATAGTGCTTAACTGGTAGTCTAGATTTGGAATAGGGCAGAAGAATTTATGACCATGGGACTTTGAAAATTACTCATGGGATTATTTATTGCACCAACTTGTTTATAATGAAATCCTTTCATATGAAAAAAGCAGCACTTTTAGATTGCATTCTTAAGAAGATCTCTTTAACTGATTCACAATAAACAAACATAAGCACCCACGTTGTTACATATTGGAGATGTGTGCTGGGTAATCGCAATAATTTTCACCACACGTTGTTGAAATATAATATACAGTCATGAAAAATTCACCACAGCTCATTGTGAGGTTATTAATTGGGATTTGGCCATGCAACAGACGAGTAAATATATTGGCACAGCTTTCAATATTTTCAAACTTTTTTTTTCCAGTTTGGATACCATGTATGCCGCGCATGCCAGGTGCTGTAAAATAGTTTCCCTTTTCTTGGACATAATTCAAATCTAAGGCATCTTTTTGAGCCAGCTTTCTATCTTCTAGCTGGAAAAACAGTAACTTCAACTTTTCAATTCAGAAAAGACAGCAGTGCTTCATTCGGATGTATTCACCTTTGATGTTTCTGGTGTGCCATTGGGTAACCACATAAGATGGTTGCCAGAAGAAAAATACAATAATGTCTCTTACCGGGCACAATTTCAAAAAGGAACTTCCTGGACTCATCTCCATTGTATGAATGTTCAGTGACATTATTACCAGGCAAGAAAATGGTCCCCTGTAAAACAGACCAAGAAATATTGTTTAAAAAGAAGGTCCTGCATGGAATAACGAGCTGTAAACAAGAATAATATAGGTTATGCAATTATAAAACAAGCTATAAAAAATTTTGAGCATTTTTCAGTAATTCACATTGCTGTTTCAAATTCTATTAATGAGCAGGAATTTAATACTGTATAATGTGATGGTTGTCAATGTTACTTGAGAAATAAAAAGATAAGTCTTCCTTTTTTGCATAGCACCTTAAATATTTTAGGAAATCCTCAGATTGTGTATGGCAATGAAATATTGTTGAGATGCATTTAATGTTGTCATTTAGGAAATGTGTAACGAGACTTGGATGAACATAGTGATGTGCCCAGGAAAATGCATTGTTTGATTGACAGTTCTTTCTCTGTGACCTATTGTCAATTGCACAATGTTTCTGAATGGTATGGTGTGTATTTTTGAGACTTTAAAGATATGGATGATAGACTGGGTTGTAGTAAAAGCAGTTTTAGTTTAAATGAAGTAGAAACTTATGAATGAATGGCTTTTTTTTTGCGATTGTGATTCTCAGGTTTATTGGCTCTGTATATTGGATAAAAGGACATGGACATTCCACAGCTTAGCTTGGAGCGGACATGGGCTATGGGCTGTGGGTATGGGGAGAAGAAATTGGTAGCTACGAAGGGTATGAGAGGCCATAGATTGGTGAGTGGAGGGGCATAGCTTGATATGGGTGACCTGACCTTTCAAATGTTCCCTAATCCAGATATGGTTCATGACATCTCTAACATACCCATGAACCACTACTTTCTGAAATGTTGACCTGACTACAGGAAAATTGCAGGCAGCTCAGAGATGCGCAGCTTGTAACAGAGCCAGTCGATGAACAGTACAGTGTGTCGGCTCCCTGATCCACACCAGCCCACACTTTTATCCCAGCTTGATGAAAATTTGGGGTATTTGGGCTGGGAATTCCGGAATCAAAGTCTCCACAACTTTGTGAAAATCTAGACCTAAATGTCTAGGCTAAACTTGAAATCACAACCATCTAACTCCAGGGTGAAAAGGTTCACACAAAATTGCAGAGGACACCTTTAATTACTACAGGGATAAACTGGATCAGATTACCCCAGACAGAGCAGCAAGGGAAGTATGGAAATCTCAGTCTCTTTCCAATATATAACATATATGTAGGTTCACCAATATATAGGTGAAGTTCAGTGTTATCAGGATTAATAAATAAGGATGGAGAGTGTGGAAAGAATAGTACACAAGAAAATATTAAAAGAGAAGGACAAACCAATAGAACTTATTTAAAAACTTTGTACCTAAGTGCACACAGTATTTGGGGAATAAAGTTTATGAGCAGACGGCACAAATAGACACAAATGGGTATGACCTGGTGGGGATTACTGAAACGTACTTACAGGAAAATCAGGAATGGGAGTTAAATTTCCAAGGGTACTCAGTATTCCGAAAGGATAGACAAGGAGCAGGAGGTGGAGTTGCTTTATTGGTTAAGGATGGCATCAAGGCATGTATTAAGAAATTATATTGGCACTAGGGACCAAAATGTTGAATCCGTCTGGGTGGAAATAAAAGGCAAGGGAAGAAACCCCTTGGTAGAAGTAACTTACAGGCCCCTGAATAGTACTTCTGAAGTAGGGCATACTATAAACCAGGAAATAATGAGGGCTTGTGAAAAGGGCACAATGGTAATTATGGGTGATCGAAACATGCAGATTGATTGGATTAATCAACTTGGCAAGGGTAGCCTCAAAGAAAGGTTCAAAGAGTGCATGAACGATTGTTCCTTATAGCAACATGTCACGCATGCAGCCAAAGATGTGGTGTTCTGTAATAAGGAAGGATTGATAAATTGTCTTGTAGTTAAGGATCCTCTTGGAAAGAGTGATGACAACATGTGAGAGTTTCAGATTCAGATTGAAAAAGTGAAGACAGAGTTGCATAGGAGAGTTTGTGCATTGGGCAAAGGTAATTACACAGGCCTGAGGAAGGAGTTAACCCAAGTGGTCTGGGCAAAAATGTCAAAGGGTAGGTCAGTTGAAGAACAGTGGCAAATGCTTAGGGAAATACTAAATACCTCTCAATTAAAGTACATTCCTAAGAGGAAAATGAATTGTAAAAAGGTGAAAAATCGTCCATGGCTTAACAAGAAAGTCAAGGATAACATGAAGGTAAAAAATAGGGCATATCATCTGGCAAAACTTGTGGCATTCTGGAGGATTGGGAGAACTTTAAACATCAGCAAAGCGTTACAAAAAACAAAATGAAAAGGGCTAAGATGAATTACAGAAGGAAACTAGCAGAAAACATAAGCACTGATACCAAAAGCTTCTATAAATATATAAAAAGGAAGAGAATAGTAAAGTAAATGTTGGCCCTTTAGCGGATGAAAATGATGAGGTATTAATGGGAAACGAGGAAATGGCAGAAACATTAAACCAATATTTTGTCTCTAATTTCACAGAGGAAGATAATTTTTTCCCAAAAGCTGCAGTTACTCCAGAAGAATTTGGTGAAATTACTATAACTGGGGAGAAGAGGTATGAAGTAAACTGATGGGATTAGAGGCAGATAGGTCCCCAGGCCCTGATGACCTACACCGTAGGGTATTAAAGGATAATGCAACAGAGATACTGGATGAGATAACAAGGTGTAGAGCTGGATGAACACAGCAGGCCAAGCAGCATCAGAGGAGCAGGAAGGCTGACATTTCGGGCCTAGACCCTTCTTCAGAAACTATAGACTAGTTAGTTTGATTTCTGTAGTGGGGAATTGGCTGCAGTCAATCATAAAGGAGGGTAAAACTGAACACTTGGAAGCACAAAGCTCGATTCACCGAAGTCAGCATGTTTCCAAGGCATGCTTAACAAACTTGATGGAATTCTTTAGGGATGTAACCAGCAAAGTGGTTAATGGGAACCTAGATGAGGTATATCTAGACTTCTAGAAGGCATTTAACAAGGAGTTGCATAAAAGACTGATCCAGAAGGTTAGATCCCACGGTGTTAAGAATAGAGTACTGGCTTGGATAGAGGATTGGCTAACTTATAGAAAGCAGAAGGTTGGGATAAATGAGTCCTTCTCTAAATGGTGAACTATAACTGGGGAGGTGTTGCAGCATTCAGTTCTTGGACCTCAATTATTTATAATCTATATTATGTTACATAGGAAAGGTCGCCGGTGACATTGTAATAGGTGGAAAGTAGGCAGTGATGAGGAGATAAGGAGTTTACAGATGGATATCCATTTTGGCTGGAAAATTAAAAGGGCAAATTATTATGAAAATGGGAAGCAGATTCCAAGTGCAGAGGGATCTAGGCATCTTTGTGTATGAATCACAGAAAGTGGGTATGTAGTTGCAGTATATAATAAGAAAGGCAAATGGAATTCTGGTGATTATTGCATAAGGACTGGATTATAAAGTAAAGAAGTGTTGTTACAAATATGTTAGGCATTGGTGAGACCACACCTGGAATACTGGGTCCAGTTTTAGTCTCCTTACTTGAGGAAGGATGCGGAGGCACTGGAGGCAGTTTACAGGAGGTTCACCAGGTTGATCCCAGGGATGAAAGGGCTGTCGTAGGAGGAGTAGTTGAATAGCTTGGGCCTGTACTCGCTGGAGTTCGGCAAAACGAGGGGGGATCTGATTGAGGTATATAAAATGCTAAAGGGGGATGTTGAATAGATGTTTCCCTCTTGTGGGTCAGTCTCAAACAAGAGGTCATAGGTACAGAATGAGAGGAGGGAGGTTCAAAACTGAGGTGAGGAGAAACTACTTCTCTCAGAGGGTTGTGAATCTGTGGAACTCACTGTCCTAGAGCGCAGCTGAGATAGAATCAAACAATAGATTCAAGAAAGAAACAGATATGTTTCTGATGAAAAGCAGGATAAAGGGCTAAGGTGAGCAGAGAGGAAAGTGGAGTGGGGACCCAAATAAGATCAGCCATGATCATGTGAAATGGCAGACTGGGCTTGAAGGGCAGAATTGTCTGCTCCCACTCATTAAGCCTACATTCCTATACGTTATTCATAACATTTACTATTAAAACATCAGCAGTGTTGCTCATGGATATGGTCATTGAGAGACAGAAATATAATGGTGGTTCATCCACCTGCATTATAGCAAATTTATTGAAGCAACACTTCACATAACAGACAAAGCTAAAATGTAGTACACAATGCAACTATTGAGCAGTTCCTTTATAATGTGGAGCTGTGAACTGAAGAACTGGATATGTGGTCAGCCAGTTTGAATTACACCATAGCTGACCATTTGTTTTAATCACTGACCAACCAGGGGCACAATCTCAGCATGCTAATATTGTCATTCATACTGTCACCGAATCAGAGACCACACCAGAAGCAATATTAGGAACTTCACAGCTCTGTCCTTAACAAGCGATTCTCCCATAACTCTAACACAAACACACAGCACAATACCGTCAATGCTTGGGAATGTATTTCCTCATGTCAAGTTGCTAATGACCATTATCCTGAATGGAGGGTTCATCATCACAATAAGGAACTGAGCAAGTGACTGCCGCTGCAATGTGATTTTCACCACCAATTAAACAGTTTGAAACAACAGCAAGAAAATGCAATTTTTCTTGAAATTGTTGCTTTAAGCTCACTTTGTGATGTAACACTTAGCAAGTGCAAATCAATCTGATATGGAGTGTGTCATACTCCTATTAGATTTTCAATAATGTCGGTTGAGAAAAGGTCTTCAACCATGAAAAGACATTTTATTGTCCAAAGAAATGGTTTCATCACTGACTATCCTTCCCAGGATAGTGTTCGAAGTAAGATGTTCTCTGGTGATTGTACGGTGCTCAATTCCATTTACAGCTTCTCACAGTATAAAAGCCTGAAGCCACCTGCAGCAAGAACTGGACAGCATCTAGCTTTGGGCTTGTAAGTGGCAAGTAATCTACATGCCAGACAATTGTCACCTCTAACAAGTGAGTTTAAACATCTCCCCTT